ACACTTTTCTTTTATTTCTTCCTTCCTATTCCCTCCATAATCTGATGAAGTTTAAATAGAAATGAAACAACAACTTCTCCCTGCTATCCAGGGAGCACGACGCCCGTAACAACCAAGAAAATCTCACAAAAGGATAAGATCAGTGCTGGAATTAAATAATAAAAAAAAACAGAAAGTTGATGCTGAATGGTTTGACCGGATCTTGCAGGAGTTCGGCTTGCTTCCACAATACCAGAATCAGAGATATTTGGGATTTTTGACCGGGATCCTTGCTGATCTTCTGATTGTATCGATTGCATGGGCGTATGTAGTTTTAGTTTTTTCTTTTTAAGGGGCCTTCGGCAGTTAAGGCTTCAATCAGACTGCGCTATGCCAAGCAGTGCTAGGACCAGCCCGATTTGCAGCATGGAAATTAGATCTCTTCACTATCCTTCGTAAATCCTTGTTTTATGTTTCAAAGCCTGAATCTTACTAACATCCATGTCCATATGGAGCCTACTGGCACTTCGCAATAAGTTTGACCTTAGGTAAGGTAATTTGGATGGCTGATTTAACCCTGCATGTATGATTGCAGCTCTAAGGACTTTATCTTGATCCCATGTCAGCACTTTTGACGGCTGTTATATCAATGTCTCATATATTTGTCAAAAATATGGGAATGAGACCTACCTCTGCAACTCATATATGAATGAAGCTTCATATGCAAATCTTATTGGCCTGATTTTCAATTTATTTATATGTTTGGGTTGACTGGTTTCTTTCATGAATTCTTTCACCAATACATCAGTCCTTTGGGTTTCTTTTGTTTTTGCTTCAATTGTTTGGAAGATGCAGTGGATGTTTGGCCCACACATGGTTGGCCTGTTTCTTTTTGCTTTTCTTCTTATCCTTAATTCCATTTTCTCATCTTTATTGGTAGTTGTGTTTTGTGCTCCTGATGAAATTAATGTCTATCTTATTGTTGAAGCTGTATCTTAATCTTCATATTCAGTTGTCATGCTTGAAGATACAGAAGATAGCATATCTGATGCAAAATTTCAATATATTGGCACCGACATTTTCTGATTATTAAAACTATATCTGTTTTCAATGTAGTGTGCATAAGATATTCATAGTTGAGCTGCTTTCTAAGAACTAAAAGTGTTTTCTGCCCTAAAAGGTTGACCGACATCCTCAATTTAGACAATCAAGGTGCCTCTTTGTTGTTAGAACTGATGGTGGATGGATAGACTTTTCCTACCAGAAGTGTCTTCGAGCATATATTCGAGATAAGTACCCATCTCATGCCGAAAGATTTATTCGAGAACACTATAACCGTGGTCGTGATTAATGTTACATTGCAATGCTGATATTTTTGTTTAAATAATGATTTTGATGCCATTAAGAAATGTTGTGATATCATTTTTTATAATTTCCTGAAGAGAGTAAGTTGCCTCTGTGTTGTTGACCTACATATGTTGTAGCCTAGATCTATCAATTGTCTAATTGAGTCGTTAACCATTGACGGGCACTTCAAGTTTGTCTATAAACAAGGACGAAGACAATGATTGAGGTGAAGTTTCACTTTGTTGACCTGCATCATGTTTTAGTTAGCTTAACACGTTATACATGGAAAGGAATAAGATATTTCTTGGAAGCATGGGACCCGCCTTCGATTAATTACAGCAATTTGTTGATGACATTATTCTAGGTCTAGAATGCTTTGTCAGATCTTGGTTCGCAAGATCTCACACTTCTCTACCATTAGGAAACTCGAACAATTGTAAATGAAACAGGAAATTATTTATTTCCCGAAAGGAGAAAGTGGATGATACCAACTTCTACTTCTTATATCTTAAATTCAAAGGTCATAATATCAGTCAACCAGCCTTGGGTTTAGATTGAATATTATAGTGCAGTCTGAAAAGTTTTAATGAAGAAATCACCTCTACGTTGTTGTTCTTGTGACCCCATTTTTCATGGATAAAACTTAATTAAATAGCTCATTAGCTTTACACCTATAAATGCATATAATTGTGGATATAGAGGAAACGTTGTCATATTTAGCAAAGTTGGCGGAAGTTTCTTTTTTTTCAACAAATGAAGCATGAGTAGGTGTGGCATATTTTTTATGCGCGCCAAAAATTGGATTGCTTGACATGTTAATTGGTATTAATCGCATCAGATTTATCTTATCAATCTCCATTTACGTAGAAGGGACGCCAAAAAATAACCCACATGCACCCCACCATGGTGGTGGTGCCATTTACCTTCAAATGGCAAATGCTGCTAACCAATTGCGTGCGTGAGTAGGTACGAAAAGAGAAGAACTTCTTGATATTGCAACAACACTTGGTTTCTGATCGGTAGGCTTGAGTAGCCTTGTTGAAAAATTACTCTTCCGGGATGAAATTTAAGGTCGTGGTTTGAACTGGAGTTTGTGAGAGTCAAAGGAGTCAAGCGCAGTAGGATATTTTGTCCAATAGGGAGAGTCTTATTTGGTCAAAATAGTAGGAAACCATCATGGCCTACCCTGAAATGTCTAGATAAAGGTAGGTTTTTTTTAAAGACAACTGTCTTGTTCTTGTTTTTGTATACGTTGGTATTTGAGTGGTCAAAAGCACGCACCGTTGCATCAGGAAAGATCCTTCTTCACGGGTTTGATGTCTGTTATATTTTTTGGATGAATCCAGTTTTCTAATAGAGTCACTGAGTTATACTGACTTTTTAGTTTCTACCCATTTCGTACCTTGTCTTTCAGAGCTTTTAATTAATATTTTAGTGGTAAAATCTTGAGATAATCAAAGATTTCATACCATTACGATTGCAACTCATTGAGACTAGTAAAACTGTGTGACCCTTGAACTCTCATTATTTGGATTTGGACCTGAATTAGCGAATAGAACAGGGCTTGGAGATAAACTATGTCCTATGGTTAAGTAAAGCCGTTATCCTACTACTTGGTGGGGAAAACTGATTCATGTTGAGAAAATAGTATGTTATGCTCGCTGGTGCAACTATGTTTTGTTTTTTCTTAAAGGTTCGGTGCTGCTATGGTTGCTTTAGGGGCATCATAATTTCTTAGTAACCTTTTAATAATCTAATGATTTTCCTAGTGCATTATGATTAACCATAGTTGTTACCCTTGATGGTGAAATCTAATCCAGGGTTATGAAAATAGTATAGTACATTTGTGTAAATGATGACGAGAGATGCCAGGTTAAGCAATGAAAGGTCAACTCTTAATCATCATATTAACCTTTTCCTTTGGTAGAAAAAACGGGTTAAATCAGCATTTTCTTGAGGGTGGTTATACGACTTATTTACTTGCTATGGATAGAAGTGGGGCGTATTACTGCATCTTGATAGGAACAAATAAGTGATAGATTGAGACATTATATTACCTGTTAAAATATACGGCAAAGGTGTCTGTAAATGAATACTGTAAAAAAATAACACAACCTAGGTTTGGGCTATGCTATAATTACCGGGAGCAAACGTGATGATTAGGTTCAGAGTCAGACTACTTGCAGGTAGGGTCACCCTAAAGCTGTCTGGTCCTCCGTCCAGCTGGATGAAGAAATCTATCATGGCCCCCAAGTCTCCCACGGTGCAAATACTATGCTCGGTTCCCTGTTCGTACAAAATTTTATCAGTATAAATTCCAAATCCTATATTTATTTATCTGTATCTATTCTCTCATCTTGCAAGGAACTTACAGTTAATAAACTATTTGCTAACTCATTTAATTATAATAACATTAATAAAATATCCCTATAATTGTTGAAGAAAATCATTATTGATCCTTTTTTATTAACATTCTCTACTAATAATAGTTCTTTTTATTATATATATATTTAAAACTACAAACATTTTTTATTTCTTAGTTATTTTAGATTCTATGTCGTAAATATTTACAAATTTAGAATTAGATATTTTCAGTTTAATTACTCGTACTAATTTATATTGAACTATTTTAATAAAATAAAATATATTATAATTTTTAATGCGATGCAATATATACAAAATATGTCGTAAAACATATAGTTACTATTTTCAAAAAGTTATACTCATTAATATAATATAGAAAGTGGGGGATGGCTTTTCTCTTTCCATTAAATTTATTTTTAAATATTATTTATTATAAACCAATACTTATTTTAAAAAAATGATTTCACTGTTTGTGTTATTCATTTTTAACGATCTTCCATAATTTTTATGAAATTCAAAAACAAATCAAGAAATAGGTTGAGGGTGGTTAATGTAATTTTTCCATTGTTCAATTAGATGATAGGATATCCATATGACTGTTTTGGTTAAGATTTTACCCTTCCACTTGAAGGTTACAGTTACAATTTTATTAAGAATATATAGTTCACTATTTTTTGTGTGTACTGTGACCGACAATAAACCTATAATACTTGATTAGCAAACATAAAATTTAATTCACAAATATATTAGTGAAATCTAATTGAGTTTTCATTTCAACAAATTATTACAGTTATACTAAAAAATATATATTTTGAAATGGTTAGGTTTCTATAATTCACAATAATAGTAAAGTTGATCTGGTCTCTTAGTTTAAAAAGAAAATCCATCTTGACTGTAATTTTTTTCAAAAAATTTATTAGGAATCACGATAAACA